GTCAGAATCATCACAGTATATAGCTGATACTTAAAGTTACGAGACACAGTATAAGCAAAGACAGAAAAGTAAAAAGGTTAAGACCCCAGCCTTGGGGTACTCTGAGCTTGGAGGAGGAGGAGGAAACAGAGAGAACCAAATAATTTTTTAAAAAGAGCAAGAGGAGGGGCAAAGGGTAGGAGGAGCCGGAGAAGCATGATGGCTCAGAAGCTAAGCCAAGTGGAGAAAATGTTTCAGGGATCAACGTTGTCAAATGCTATTGAGCATGCGCATAAGGTGAAAACAGAACTGGCCACTAGAATCAGTCGGGTGCAGGTAATCGGCAACCTTGACAAGAGTGGTTTTAGTGAGATGGTAGGACCCATCGAAGTGTCCTGAAAAGAATGGATGATGATTTTACATAAGACTTTTGAGTTCAGTGAAACAGAGGGGTCGCTAGAGGGGAAATGCGAAGTCGTTGTAGATTTTAATGATGGGAGTCATTCTGGCATGTGTTAATGCTAGTAGAAAGCAGGGAGGGAAACATTAACAAGGGACAAAGGGTTTGAGGTGTGAGGTGGGAGGTGTTCAAGTCCGTGAGAGGGACTGGGCTAAGCACATAAGCAGAGGGCTGGCCGCAGACAGGAAGACGGCTTCCGATCTTTGTTAGTGGGAGGATGAGAATTAGAAAAAAAATATCAGGGAGGAGGACAGAGGAAAGGTTTGAAGTAAGAGATAGAAGATGTGAAATGGTTATTTCAAAGAGGGAATATTGGAACTGCAGGACAGGACTGAAGGCACTGAAGTAAAGATTATGAATATAAATCCAGACAGTATGTGTTTTTCTTCAGTGAAGGCAGGGTTGACAAAGAGGTTAAATTAGCATAGAAGTCTTGCTTTGCCCTGGCTGGTGTGGCTCAGTGGATTGAGTGCTGGCCTGCAAACCAAGGGGTCGCCAGTTTGATTCCCAGTCAGGGCACATGCCTGGGTTGTGGGCTGGGTCCCGGTTGGGGGTGTGTGAGAGGCAACTGACCGATGTTTCTCTACCTCTCTTTTTCGCTTTCCCTTCCCCACGCTCTGAAAATAGATAGATAGATAGATAGATAGATAGATAGATAGATAGATAGATAGAGTCTTGCTTAGAGAGTACAATGAAAGACAAGAAAAGAAATTGAGGGTATATACAAAGTAGTGATTTGCAATGAACAATGGAGTCAGTTTTGGGTAAGGAGGAAACTGAGGACTTGAAAGTAATTAAAAAGTGGTATAATTATTGGTTTGGGGATCCTGACGTGGACAAAGAGCTATTGGAGTAGGGAGAACAGAATAAATAAGCTACAAATAGAGGAGGTGGTGGTCAGAGCAAAGGATACTTGAAGTCATGACTTTATAGGAGGGGATGGTGAAATTGGTAACACGAGGCAGAAGGTAAGATCATCGGAATGAGTTGTTGAAGTTAGACTAAGGCCAGGATCCCTGTGGGAGAGGAGTCGTCTTAAGAAGCCAGAACGCCCGATAGATTATCTACTTGGGTAATGACTCATCAAGAATGACTATTAGCAATGTGGAGAGAAAGGGAGTCAGCAGCCTAGCAGAGATCAGAAAGTTGATCAACGACTACAGTTTGCAAAGTGACACAGTTCATAAATCTGATTTCCTCCAGTTTAGGTTCTATATGTTTCCCACCTCTAACTGGAATCTAACTCTTACCTCTGAATGAACTCAGAGTCTAAATATGGGTCTGGGTATCAGCAATTTATTAAAAACAGCCCAAAGCGCCTGAATAAATTACAGCATCTGCCTTCTGTCCCTGTCCTAGACACTCTGGCCTGTCACAGCTGGGCCCCCTGCCAAGGAAACCACTGCAGTCAGTCGCTCTGCCAGTGTCGGTACAAGGCATAGCCCTTCCCTCCTCCTCACATTCTTGGATATAGACAAATAAAATCTTCAGCGAATGCGGCATCGAATGTCATCCTTCCTCCCTCTCCCCTGCTGCTGCTCTTATGCCGTCCTGTGTACAGTTCTAGAGCCTCCACTGCCTGTGGCCGAGGCAGTCATTTTCCAGACCAGAACTGCCCATCTGCAGTTGAAGTTGACTAGGCAGGAGTTGAGAAACTGAGTCAAGGCCAAAAAGTGGTGGTGGGGCCAGGAGAAGCTGCTCAGACTGCAGCTGAGACACATCAGTGAGACAGGCCCCACGAATTCCTGCTGCGAACATCCAGCCCCTGGTGCCAGCCTCCGTGAAGCTCGCACTACCACGACTCTCGTTCTTGAATTTCCAGGAGGCCCTTCCTTGCTTACAGTAAACTTACTTTCATTTGAGTTAGCCTGAGTGGGTCTTCATTCCTCACAGCCACAAAAATTTAATTCAAATAGGGCCAGTGTGTGCAGGAAGGGGAATAATGCTCTCCAGTCAACTGTCTCACGGCATAGTCACGAGCTGCCCTTGGCTTTGAGCAGGAATATGGTGGGAAAGGCGCATGACACTGTGCGCGCACACACGCACACACACAATTTGACATCATGGTCTGTATTGGTAATATCTTTGAGATGACAGAGTTTTATAAAATAATTATATTTTTAAGGAACCACAGAATCATTCTTAATAATACACCGTCATGCACACACACACACACACACACACACACACACGCTGTTTTATTAGTCAGTGAACCCAGAGCCTTTAGGTTTTATTAAGACACAAAGCCCATGGAAACTTTCGGGTTGGTCATTTATTACTGGCTAAAGAGATGTTTCTGGATAAGAAAGAAACCAATGAATTAAAACTGACAACTGGTTTCAAACCTTACTGACCATGTTCTCTCACACAACTCAGATACCTCATCATTGAAAGGTGAGGAGTAACAACTTTATCTTAGGGTCTTCTTAATATTTAAATGAAAGAAACCATATTAACACACAGCATTGTGTTTGGCACATAGTAAGTATTCAAAAGATGTCGGTTCCATCCTGTAGTCTGAGTTGCCCTTACTTTCCTCATAATTAATAAATCTATCCATGAATCGACAGCACTGACTATGCACTGTGTGACTGATTCCCCAGCATTTTAAAAGCACAGGGTGGGGAAGCAGTAAAAGATGGAATGGACCGCACTTCCGCTTACAACTGAGCTAGCATGCATCAGAGAAAATGGCACCTTCAAACCCCAGTACGTTTATACAGTAAACTTTAGGGTTTCATAATACCTTTACGATGGAAATCTTGAATTAAAATAAAATTAGCAGTCCCACCATTTTAACAACACAACTGTTCATGTACCCATCTCTCCTTCTCCACTTGATCTACATACACACATTTTTACAATTTTATGTGCTGCTTTTATTGCTTACCACTATACAAAAATCCTTATTGATGCACAGCATTCGAAGTCATCACTTAATTTAAACCGTTATGAATTAATATAAGGCCAGTATGCTATGTATGTATATTATAGTTTGGTCATTGTTCTATTGTTAGACATTGAAGACGTTTTCTCCTTTCTGAAAATGCTGCAATTAACTTGGTTGGTGCATTGATCACTTGTAATGCTTTTTAAATTTTACATGTTATTACTTTTTCCTAGGACCTGTATGCCCGACAATAAAATGTTAAAATATAAAGTTTGTTCTTAGAAATATTAATTATTTATGATCTCTTTAATATACCTTATATGAATAAAACCAGATTTTATATTAATGCATTAGCATTTATCTGACTCTATTCCATTGCTCTCTGTACCAAAAGTTTATCTTTTTGCACCAAATGCCAGATCTGTCACAGTTTAGCAACAAGAGACATTGGTAAAGGATTCAAACAATAGGAAAGGCTCATGGAGGATTTGCACCAGGTTTTAGAGGAGTCAGAGAAAAGGGACATTACAGATAAGGAAACCAGCTTAAGGGGAAACACCCAGGTATAATGACTGGGCTGCGAGACCAGACGTGCAGGGCGATTTCCCCGACAGAAGTGGAGGTGTTGCTGGGGAACGGCTGCAACAAGCCCAGATCAGCAGAGAAGGGCCATAATGCAGGGACCTGAAAGCCAGACATGGAAACTGAGACCGCCCCACTTGGAACTAATTCATAGTCATCAAATCAGATGAAATACTTAAATGAACTTTCGGTGTCTTTTCTGGGGGTGACTTCAGATACCCAATGTTCCTGGCAGGATGACAGAGAGACCTCTTACTCCCGTCGGTGGGGAGAGGCCGGACAGAAACAGCCACTGAAACAGCCGCCGTCTCTGGCCAGGACAGGTAACAGAGGTGCTGTAACTCCAGGTAACAGCTCCAGTTACAAGGGCTTCAACTCCAGGGACCAGTCCTCAAATTCAGTGCCAAATAGGGTAAATCTGCATCCACTTATCAGACTCAGTGCGTCACCTGAGCAAATCTAGTCAGAGGTAAGGTGCAGCACATGTTTCTCTGGCTGACCACAATATAATGCCCTGGATCCAGATGAACTTTCTTTGCACGGTATTTATTATTTGAATAAACCAACTGGAATGTTTAGAGATGACTGAAGCAATCTGATTGGCAAACTTACAGGGCATTAATTCTTCCAAGGTGACTGGTGCATAAAAAGTGAAACTATAGCACTCATGTAAACAATCCATCTGCCTCATTTCCCTCCCCTAGCCACCTCTAGTTTTCAGCTTATGTTAGCTGTAAGACGAGCTAATGTTTTTAGTGTAGAAAAATGGCATTATCCCAGATGTAAAACTTACTTTAAGGAAAAGAGGAAAAATTCTATAGCCACACGGACTGTATCAATAGGCATCCATGACCGATGACTAAGATGAATGACTATTATAATTTGGCAGGTAGGGGAGGCTGTGGCCACAGGCATCTCAGAAACTAAACTCTAACTTAATCCAGGCATCAAAAAAATTCCACTTTAGGTGACCAAATTGTGTGATAACTTTTGCACACACACACACACACACACACACTTTTGAATTAACCCCACAGAAATGACTGCAACTCAATAATACAGTCTAATTGTCTCATTCTTGCGAAACAGGTCTTTTCCTGTGGGTACTTTAAAAGCTATGAAGCAAACAACTTATAAAAGAAGTTGGAAGAGTCAGATATGAAAGAAGGACTTGGAACTGTGGGGCCAGAGCCAAGGTGCATAAGCGCTTTCCTTCATTTGGGAGCCAAACGAACCAGGTAGGCGCCCCCTAAGGTCAGGTCTTAATTATCTCCAGGTAATTGCCTCATGCTTATCTTTGGCAAATCTCGCTTTCAACTTCTTGTTGATATTATTAACTCTTCCTATCAACCCTTTGTTTATCCCTGTCCTTGAATTCATTCTTAGATTCAATAGAGGAAACTTTTTTCTTAGCTGAAACACAGACTCCTGAAGACACATGTTTTTAGCGAGGACAGAGTGGGGCAGGGAAGGAAAAGAAAGGGAGGAAGAGGACACCGAGGAAAGAGAATGAGAAAGAAAGGAAAGAGAGAGTGGGGAAGACGGAGAGGTTCTGAGTGACACGGACAGGTGGTGGGGGCTGGAGGAAAGGGGAAGGGCAGGAGAGATGAGCAGTTTTGTGTAGGCTGATAAAGAGGATCCGGAAGTGACAGCATCAACAGGGAGGGACGTACGGGACTGTTTCCAACTCCTCCCAAATCACCTCGGATCACTCAGTGCCTAGTGAGTATTCATCAAGCTCAAGGGTATGCCTCGCATTCAAACAGGTGTTCTTCACGTGTTTATACCACGGATCCTTTTGGTGATTTGATGAAGCCAATGAACCCTTCTCAGAAAATATCTAGGCTTACGAAGGAAGCCAATTTTATAGAAATCGAGTTTTCAAAATAACTTTTGAGTATGTAAAATTTAACGAATGCACCAAATCTGGTGGTGGGTCTAATATAACTACTATAGCATCAACGTAGTAATGAATGCAAAGACTATTTCAAGATATCTGGAACAACTGAATGTAATATTAAGTATCTGTAGTTTAAAATCACAGGTACAGCTACTATGCTGTGGTTTATTGCCTACATTCAAAATTAAAGGAAATACTACATTTTGGTTAAAGGTGAGTGAGAATGGAGATGTAACTTTTTTCTTATCCAAGTTCATGTATATTCTGATTTGAGGGGTGAAGAGAAAAGAATAAAAACAACTCGAAGAGTTAGTCTCTCTTCTTCCACGAATCTTTTACTCCAGGAGCACCACGAGATCCCACACAGTTGCGCAGACCAGAGTCGCTGAGGAAGTCAGCAACTCCGAAGAAATGTAACTGAAGAAACAACTAACACAAAGTGGCACCAATTACAAAGGTTTCTTGGAAAAGGAAAGTCCTTTCCAAATTCCTGAAAAGTGCTAACATATTGGGGACATTGACCAATTGGAAAAATTCTATATGAGTCCTGCCACACATCAAGGCATGACCCAGACAAATTAGAAATAAATATAATTAAAACTGTTTTAAACACTAGGAGGAAACATGGGGATTTTTCTTCTCTGTTTTCAGTGATTATTGAGCCAGAGTGGGATTTAATGCAGTGCTGTGGGCCACCCAAATGGACCAGTACCACCTGTGGCAATAGAGGGATGCGGGAAGAGCAGGGGCTCAGGGGCCGGACTGCATGGGTCTATGCCACTTCCATCTGTATGACTCCAGCGGCGAAACGGAACTAGCACTGCCCACCCATTGGTTTGTTGTAAAGAGTAAATACACGTAAATTTATGCGTACAAAACAGATGGCATGGTAGCTAACTACTGAAAAACTGTGTTTATTAGCATTATTATAGCTTCTGGAAATTCCGTTTAGGCCTAAAAGAAATTATAAAGAAAAATACTGACATATGTGATTACTCGAAAATTTAAGACTTTTGCATATCAATGGTGCCACAAACAAAATTAAAAGGCAAATGAAAAACTAAGACAAATAAAACAAAAATAAGAGACAAAAGGTTAATAGCCTTACTATATAAAGAATTCTTACAAATCAATATAAAACCACACGTTAATATTCCAGTAGAAAAATAAATATAAGACATAAGTGGACAATTCACAAAAAAAGCAAAAGACAACACATAGAAAATTCATTCAAAAGAAGATTTAAGGATGGGAAAAACCACCTAAAGTAAAATGTGAAATAGAAAAAAATAAAACCAAAATTATACATAGCATGTTACAAATATTATAAATATTCACACAAATACATTGAAAAGCATGGAAGGAAATATATCAGAATGTTAAAAGTATCTCTGATACAGGATGATGAATAAGGGATTTTCGTTTTTTTCTTTATATTTTTCTGTCTTTGTGAATGGAGAATTTGAACTTACGATGAAGACATTTCCTTTTAATAGAAAAAATATGTGACACTGCAGCACTGCTTCAAATAGTGAAAAATTAGGAGCCATCTAAATGTCCATCAATAACAAAGGAGTTAAAAATGTATATAATATGTATCCATGTATTCAACATGATTTCATAGGCAGCTGTCAAAAAAGAATAAAGTATATTTTTTCTGTAATGTTTTCACATAAAAAGAAACAAGTTGCAGAACAGCTTATTTAAGTATGACCACATTAAAAATGTGTATATTTGTCCATTATTTGGCAAAAGATGTGAGTGTGTGTGTGTGCGCATGTGTGATGGGGGAGCCAGAGGTGGAGAAGTAGGAAACAGATTAAGGCTGTAGAAGTACCTTGAATTTCCAGAATCTAAGCTAGGACTATATTTAAATGTAAGTTCAAAAATACATACCCAAGGTAGGTTTACATTATTTTCTTTTATTATTATATTTTAAAATCCTCACCCAAGGACATGCTTACTGATTTTACAGAGAGGGGAAAGAAGGGAGAGAGAGGGAGAGAAACACTGATCAGTATGTGCTTGACCAGGAACCAAACCCACAACCTAGGCATGTGTCCTGACCGGGAATGGAACCCACAACCTTCCGGTTTACATTCCAGCCAATTGAGCTACACTAGCCAGGGCAGATTCACATTATTTTAGATGGCTTCTAGTTCTCCATCCCTCATTCATATAATTTCTCAAGACCTACATCTGAGTCCCTACACAGACTATTTCTGAGAAAACCAAGACTTAATCATGTTCTAAAGTTCAAACTTTCCACGGCCCCAAAACAATAAAAAATGTTTATTAACACTGTTTTGCTGTTTTCATGTTTTAGCTGCCTGGCTCTTGGTATACTCAGTTCCTTCAGGCTGTAGGATTAAAAGAGGAATTTGAGCTCTTTTTTTTGTGGAACCTGCAAAAGACCTCTTAGAAACAAGGGTCTCAAGAAAACAAGGCAGTGAAAAGCACTCCTTTTAAATTCTCAGTAAAAACCGGTTCCTTCCTGTGCCGTACAGGTTATGAAGGTTATAAAGGTTTCCCCAAATGGCAGACAGGTCAATGTTTACGTGCGTGACTGAGATAATGTCTCTGAGAGCTGCTTTCAGTCATAACAGACACTGGTATGTTTCCCATAACATTAGAAATGGAGACTTTCTACCTGAATGTATTAGTATTTCATCTTCAAACGAGGCTATTTGTTCTCACCTTCAAAAACAGTATTTCATACTTCTAAGGGCTGAGCTGAACATGCACAGCACCAGAGTCTGAAACAATTCAGCAGGGCTCTGAGCAGAGACGTCGGCCCAGCCGATGCAGAGGAGCTGCACACCGTCTGCCTGCGCACACGAGGGGGGGTGGGGGGGACAGCTGTGACACTCACTGCGCACTTCACAGATCGCGGCCATCACGGGGAAAGCCTCTTTTCCTGAAATTATTTCCTTTATTTTGTTTTCCTAAATCTGAGAGTCCAGAAACTACTCCCCCACATTCCTTCAAAAGCTTTAACAGGTTTTAAGCTATTTACCAGCATTCGAAAGAGAAAAAGACTGGGACCTCTTCCCTTCTGTAGCTCCACTCCCCTCTAAAAAAAACAATGCATGCTTGGCTCTTTCACCTTGTGCTTTTAAGAAGGAATTTTAATGGGATGAAGCTCTTCGGGGTGCACAAACTTAGGAGGGAGGAGCACAATAGTAAATTATACCTTCCAGAGGAGTCTGAGCCCACTGGCCACTGCCAGTGATGTTAAGTCCATAAACAAAATCTGTCTAAAAAAAAATTCCTTCGTGAAAGGTGCGACAGAAGAAGATGAATCACGCTTTTTCTCCAGATCTGTCATAGAAGAACCAAGGACTTGTCAATGACTGCAAGCAGCAGGGCCTTGACAACTAGTCCAAGACCGAGTTGTTTTGTCCAGCATCTGTCTCTCTTCGCTCTGGGAGCATTTCCCTCCCAATTAATGTAAGTTATGAGGCTGCGCTGGAGAGCTCAGTAAACTGACATTCAAGAACATTAGCTGTTTTGTTTTGTTTTTTACCCTGAAAACCATGGTAAACTGGTATCTACAGCTTGTGTCCATGAGGGTAGAGGTGCTGAACTTCTGGTCACTTTTTGCTAGAAGCCTGCATTGCACTGGCGCTGAACCCCCAGCCCACCTCTGTCCTCTTGTTTTACCAACATCCTCTCCCCTCCTGTGAATGTGCTCTGTGCCCCGTTGGCTTCCTGCTCAGGTTGCTGGTTCTGAGCTGTCATTTAGATGGAGGTGTAAGGCCCGCAGTGAACTACTTACTGCTGGTGTTCTAGGGCCAGGAGCAGACCTGGGCAACACCCAGAAGGTCTGTTCCCAGAGAATTTGGGAGAGGATTTTGGATTTTGGGGGGGGCATGCTTTTTCTACCTATGGATAAAAATAATAAAACCACTGCCACTACGTTGTTCATTTTGGAAATACAAAGCCAAGGAATTCTGGACTATCTGAAAACAACTAATTAAAGCAACTATGTTTTGGTTGTTTCCCTTAAAAGTGAACCAACAATATAGCTCTATATGTTGAGAGCATTATAATGAGAAAATTAAGCTTCTTGACTCAGAAACAAATATAGACACAAGCCGTGACTCATTTTTACCATTGTTTTATTCCAGAAACTTAAAAGCACAGCCAGCATGGTGAGGATCCACAGAAAAATGCACACACATTTGCTGCCGTCCCAAGAGCAGAAGATACCAATTAATTGAAGGGTGTGAAAATAGAGCTGGGACGAACGCTGGGGGTGCGGGGGGAGAGGGAGGAGACAGGAATAACAGCATAGATATCATAAATCAATAATCCAGAATGGATGCAAAATACAAAAGTGGGAGCAAAGCCAGGCCATCGTTCAGAGACTAAATCTAGGCTTATTTTGTGTAACACATTTATTCACTAAAGCACCACAGCAGTTATTAGAGGAAACAATAAAAAGGTCCCCTCCCCCTGGAAATTTGAGGCTTACTTTGGAATTTTTATGACATTTCATTCTTAGCAAACAAGGTCTCACAACCTTCTCCTGGCTTTAAAGAATCACTGTGGTAGCAGCCTGTGACTGATACCCTTGGTCTGACTTGTGTGTGTTGTTTCGCGTGTTCTCCAAAATTCATTCATTATGGAAAGATAGCAGCGCTGGCAGGCAAACAAATAAACCACCCCCCTGCCTCCAGCTTCCAGGCTTCACCCTGATGACTGTGACTCACCTGGGTCACATGAACGAGGCCCCTTCATGCCCACAATGCCTTGTCCACAAAATTAGGGCACTACCAGTGCCCCCCCCCCCCCGCTACCAACTAAACAAGTGCCCTGAGATTCCTAGTAGTGGAAAACAGTGGAGGGTGTGGTGTGTGTGTGTAAGAAACTACAGTTCAGTTTGTCTTTGTTTTATGCTACAAGTGGGTTCCTGCAAAGTCAAGGTTTAAATACTTTTTTCTATTTTTGTCAATGGAATCATTTACCATTCACATCAGGAACTTGCTATTTAATAAAATCCGATTGTGGTTCTAGTTGTAAAGCAAAGAATGCTTTTGTAATTGAAATAAACTCTTTTTGTTTGATCAACTTCATACATTCAGACTTGGTTTTACTGGAGTTCCTGAACTAGAACACACTTAGAGTATTACCACTACTCCTGTACGTGCACTGCTTTGATTTAATGCTATTCTTTTCTTTTTCAGCAAATAGCCAAAGAAGTATTTCTGTCCCCCAAGTTCATAGCTGTCACGATGTGAAAGGATAGAACTGGAGCGGCGGCTTTATTTAGCTTTAGTGCACCGTGTGGCACGTGAGGCATCCAGGGTAACAGACGCGCCGGGAGCCTTGAGACACCAGCAAGTCACCGCGGAAAGGAACTGGAGGCCGTGTCCCACGGCCTGTGCAGCAGTGTCTCTAAACCAGCTCCAGAGCTGAGCCATGACCAGGCTGCTCTGTAAAAGCAAAAACCCAGTTATGCCTACCCGAGTTAGGGCGGCCAGCACCTCCAAGCTGACCCCGCTCAG